TAAATGTCTAAACCTTTAGTTTTGCTAAATTTTTACTAAGTATAGTTTCACCATTTTTATAAGCTTTGATATAGTTTTACCTTTTTCTGAATTTCGCAATTTTTTTAATAAGGGTTTAATATAATTTAACCAAGTTTTACCTTTACCATTTAGACATCTGTCTAAACTCTGAATTTGAACCTACATAATTAATTTTGAAAAAATATAGAAATGTTTGGCTTATGAAGTTTTCCCAAAATATTCCTTATTAGGTTTATGTCAATATTATGATTTTTGTTTCAAATATGATTTATATCAGGAGTTTTCAAATAAGCAATATATACTGTCTTCATAAAATTTAATAATTAATTCATCTATACCATGTGATGTATTTGTAAAAATGTTTAAATATCAAGAGTTTTAAGATATGTAAGAAATAGCAATATCAGCATATGTTAATAAAAACATACCTTTATCTCAATATGCACATGTGCAGGAAAAACCATATGTTATTAGATTTCAGCAATTTTATGTGAAGGATTAACTATTGTGATAAACCTATTAGTATCCTTATTTAACGATCAAGTGATAAGTCTGATGAATTATTTCAATTAATAGAAAATTTAATAATTAAATTCTTTTATAGATTAAAACAATTTCTGCTAGAATTGGATGTGTTAGCATTTATGCTAGAAAGCATCAGCCTTCACAGTATTTTGAAAAGATTTTTTCTGAAATTGCTATTGGGTTAATTAAAATATTATATATAACTGCAGAAAGCTTCATTGGCAATAATTAATTTATAAAAATATTATTAAATTTTGCAAAATAAACATCTATATCTTTTGTAATAGACAAAGTACATTGCATTATAGAATGTGAAATTTTAGAAAATTATAGAGTAAATTAGAAAAAATTTCAACATTATTTTCAAACAGTCTAATTATAATGCTTACATGTACTTGTAAAGAATCTGATGCTTATTTAATTTTAAACAATCTCTATCTTGCTTCATATGATATAAATTTTGTTAGAGAATTATTTTTTTTGTATCTAGAACTTACAATAAATATGCATTCTAAAAGTATTAAGGAAAAAACTATTGGAGAGATAATAAAGTTATTAGAAGAATTAGAGGAAGAAAAATACATTATTTATTGTTTAACAATAAAAGCATATAATGATGTTTATGAGTAACTTCATAAAAAATTAAGTTTTAAATTAATGATGTCATGTATTACAGCTCTTTAGATGGTGAAGAAAAAAAAAGAAATTAAAATTATGGAAAAATAATGCAATTCAACTTATGATTGCAACCAATGCTTTTTGTATGAGTCATAATAATAAAAATGTCTGTTTGGTAATACATTATTCCTTTCCATTGAGTATAGATAAGATATAATACTATTATTACTATTATAGTAAAAAGAAATCAAATAATTTATATAATCTTACCTTTTAAAATAGGTAATCTTATGGAAAGGCTAGAAGAGATCGTAATTCTATAAAGTGTGTAATTTTTTATACCCACTATGATATTTGCACTAATTATACGATCATAACACAAAGTAGAGAATCGTAAGTATTGAATCTAATAAAAAATATAAATAATAGTATAATTAAAATATAATATTGTATATATTGTAGGAAAACTGAAAATATGAATAATAGTTTCAAAGCAAATAAAAAATAAGAATACTTGACTAAAGCATGTGAAAGAATATTTGTAATTGTTTATATTTGTGAGAAGCAATATATTTATAGGGAATACATGCTTGCAAAATACTTTGCATAGAATGGTAATATTTTAAATCCTTCATGTGAACATTGTGATAACTACGATCAGCTGAAATGTACTGTATGAAAGTGATTATAACAAATCATATTTCATTGTATACTTTTTTGATTTTATATAATTATTATACAATGAAATATGATTGGTTGTAATTACTTTCAAATAGTACATTTCAGCTGATTGTACTGTACAGTTTATCTATCTAATGTAATGCAAAATTTTTAGCATATTTAAAAAAGTTTGTATCATACCTGAAACCCTAATAATTGGTTTGATTATAATAACCCTAAATTGCCAAACCTTTTTATTTGGTTGGTATAATTAAAAGCTTCTTTTATCAGTAAAAATAGACGATTTTTAGTAAAAAGTAGGTTTTGAACAATTTTCTCCCAAATTTACAAAATGTCGCCTAATTATTCTTTATCTCAATACCTTTTTTCAAACACATGTAGTATTTCAATACTATAATTTTTTCACTATTTTGACTATTTGTTCATCTTCTTATCTGTTGTGCAACGTGATCTACCTGACCTTTTTTCTTCCATATTTGTGGCATAAAATGATTTAAGATTAACATAAGTATTAATTATACTTGATTGTAAAACCTTCTCCATTAAATTTCTATAAAAGTCTTTTCAAGTAATTAACATAAAGTAATGGTTTAATAATAGCATTTATTCCTTTAACCCATGAAGTACTTTCAATATCAGCAGTAAAAGTTTTTCGTAAATAACAGCATGCCAATGATTTATTAAATGGTCATAATACTCTGAGAAGATAATCTTAAGTTAATAGAAATTTTCTAATAAATCATTTTATCACAAAAAAAGAATTTTTAATATTGATTTTCTAATTTAGCCTTCCAATATAATATACACAATGTGTATGGCATGGTAAGCATTTGGAAATTGAATTTAAAGCCAGATCAGCATCAGGTAAAAAATATAAGGGGTTGTTTTTTCTAGAGTTTGGATCTGTATATCTGTAATCTGTGTATCCGTACAGATAATAGATTGCGGATACTCATTTTACTAGAGTTTGGATCTGTATATCTGTAATCTGTATATCCATATGGATAACGGATTGCGAATACTCATTTTACTACTTCAGATAATATTCATAGATAAATAATTTTGTATGGATAATCTGTGGATAATTCTTATATCCATGGATAATCATTGTTTCAAAAGAACAGTGAAAAAATATCGTTCTTAAGGAACAATAATTGAATCGTTTCAAAAGAACGATAAAAAAAATTGTTCTAAAGAAACGATAATGAATCATTTTAATAGAACGATGAAAAATAATTGTTCTAAAGGAATGATTATGTAACATTCCAAAAGAAAGATAAAAGAAATTGTTTTAAAGAAATGATGATGTATCGCTCTGATAAAACGAAGAAAAAATAATTATTCTAAAGGAACAATGATGTATTGTTCTGATAGAATAATGAAAAAAATAATCATTCTAAAGAAACAATAATGTATCATTCTGAAGAACGATAAAAAATCATTCAGAACGATGATATATCATTCCTTTGGAAATGATTTTATCAATATCCATATTATTCATATATCCATGGATAACATGGATATGGATTATCCATTCAATTTTTTTTAAATTATCCATATTCAGGTTTAATTTTTATATGTATAATGGATATTAAATTTATATTATAGATATATATCCATGGATAATATGGATACTCGGATCTAAACTCTAGTTTTTTCTGTTGCTTTAAGTGAACATTATAAAACTATACCAACAAAAACTCAAAGGATAATATATATTGGTTCTAACTTTAATATAATATCGCAATACTTAATCCAAAAAAAAATCTGTTCAGAAGTCATCCAGAAAAGGCGAGTGAGAAGACTATCTGTCCCTTTTTTTTTTTTGAATAAGAAAAGAATTGATGTATCATTATTCATATTCAGTATCTTTAAAATTGATTTTGAAAACCTGCCCTTTAAAAGATTTCGTTGGACAGTAATTGAAAGATTAGCCATTATTTCTATTTCGTCTATTATTTCTTTAGTTAATTTTCGATATTTATTACTAAATTCAGACGTTTCAGACATCAACTCATGATTGTGCTCATTTTTAAGGCAAACTGATGGTGATCTTTGTAGCATGCTCTGAGAAATGTTAAAAGGGACACATACATTTTTTAGTTCGAGTATTGCTTTGTTTTTCAGCTTGTACTGATGATTCCTGTTTTTAGACTTGAATTTACCACCAAATTCACAAGTAAAAGTCCTCTTAGTAACAATATTTAAGGATTTATTTCCATCCATTCGATATTTATTACCGCAAAGCCATTGCGATATTCATAGTCTTCAAGGAACTTTTCAACTTCATCACAAGAAAAAAAAGTTGTATATAGACCGATATCTTCAAAAGCGATATATATACAATCATTATTAGTAAGTATAGTTGCATCATTTGAAATCTTGATAAGAATCAACAAAATCATTAAGAGTATCTTCATTTATAATATTTATTTTTTTTCAAAATCAGGCAGATGTGCAGAAAGTTCAGATTCTTTAAAAAAGAGGTCGTACAATCCTGAGGATTTATCGTTTTCAAGGTTATATATATCCATGGCGAAAAAAGAGAATTGTTGTGACAAAAGAAAAGGTAGAAGAGTATGAAAAAATGTGTTATGGGAAAAATATTAGAAGGAAAGCGAAAGTAATCAAATAACAATTAAATATAATTTCATCAGTAATTTTATTGATATTAATTTTATATCGCGGCGTTCATCATATAGTCTGTAAAATTTTAAAATATAAAAATCTACGTCATAATTTATAGGGGAGCGATGTTGAATTAGTACCATTTTTATAATTTTATGATTTATTTATAGTGATAATTTTAAAAATCGAGATTATTTATTCTTATAAAAAATGTGTGATAAAAATGGACTATATATATATTTCTACAAGGAACTTAAAGGTATTTTTTTTTATCTTCGTAATGGACTAGACGAAGAGATTTCTTTTTTAACATACAACACTTTATTGATGTTCAAGAAAGAGATCATAATAAAGAAAGACTACATTAAATCTTGTTTAAATATAAAGATTTGACTGAACAAAATTAAAAAGAATCAGAAAATTTTTTTTTTCTAAAAATTAAAACCAATGATCTTATTAAAAGATTACAAAAAAATACTAGTGCAAATGTTATCGATAAAAAAAAATCTCGCACTCAAATACTACTACTAAAATATTGGCATCATTTTCGGAATACTAATTTCTGGTTGAAAATCAGGTATTAATGTTGGTAAAGAAGGACGAAGTTGGAGATGAGGGACATTAAAGAAGACAATGGCGGAAGGATTGACATGGGTATTGGTGCCAGGTTGTTTGACATTAAAGTTAATAACACTAGTACCAGGGATTTTGGGTTTTTTGGCAGGACGTTTTCGTATACAATGTGTGACCCGGATCCTATTGACAGCACCACCCGCAACTGATCAAGAAAAGAAAGAAAAATAATTTTAGTTTTTATTTTTTTTAAAAAAAAAGGCAATCCAAACATAAATTTTACTTCGGTTAGAGTTGAATTTCCACCTAAAATTATTATTGCAAAAAAGACAGAAAGTCATGAATAAATTTTTTGAAAAAAAAAATAATTTTTCTAGATAAAATAGATAAGATGTTGATAATTTACCTATGACGTATTTGTTTTGGGGAAAACTTGGGAAGTCGGCGACCCAATTCCACATATGGTGCACTATGATATTTTCCTTCACCTTGCATGAATTCCTTGATTTGATCATCGGTCTATAAACGAGATAAATAAGTGTTAAAATATATCTTTAATTTTTTTCTTATAAATAATATAAAAATTAAAACATACTTCTATATCGAACATAGACATTATATAGGGTTGGTGTTTTTTTTTAATGGGATTTTTTAATGGGATTTTTGAAAATTGAATTGTTGGGTTCATTTAATGGTTTTTTTAATGTGATTTTTTTTTTATTTATTTTGTTTTGTAAAGGTTGGATGGAGGTTGGAAGAAGTCGTCGTTCTTTTATAACAAAATAATTATATTAATAAAGTAAATTTATCAAAACGTTTTTATTAAAACTGTTTTATAAGTAATATTTTTTTTCATAAGAATCGGTCGTACGTTATTTGTTTCATCAGAAAAAAAATTTTTTATTTCTTCTATTAATACCTTTGTATAATAAACCTGTTTTTCGTAAATTGTATTACAAACAAATCATATTTTTAATTTGTGTATTGCCTTGCCTCATTTGGCTGAACAATAATAAAAAGACTTGGTGGCAACGTTTATTTATTTTTAGATTTCTGAAATTATTTAAGAAATCTCTCATCATTTATGGACAAGATTTTTTTAATTTTTACCCAAATTAAGTAACAATCATTTACGAATTACCAATTGGAAAATTTAGGTTATATGAGTATTTATTTCAATTCGCCATTTTACCTTATTATTTTATTTTTGTGAACTCTTTTAAGGGGAAATCATTTTTAAGTTTCGGTGGGCTTTCTGTTTCATGATAGGCCTTTAAGTTCTCTCCTTGCGGAACGATTCTTGATTAAAACAATCAAAGCCCCAACAACCGTTTCATACGTTTGCTATTATTGTCATGCTTTTTTATAGAAATATGATACGATACCTATGATATTAACACAAGAATGCAACAATAAAAATGAAACAGGAGCTATTAAAAGAACAAACCTCATAAAGTTGATTTGGACGGAATTTTGAAATGAAATCCTTATGTTTCCATGTTGTGTCATATTAAAAATACCCATTAGCTAATAAATGATTCATTCGCCAATCATTTTCCATCATTTTACAATAACGTTTTTTACAATATATATGTTTTTTCCCTACTCCTTTATCGTTATTACAACCGCGAAAATAAAAATGATCGGCAGTTATCTTAGAAATTTAATAAAAAAAATAATTATATTTGGAAAACAAATTTTGCTTTAAACACAAATTTTAAACTTGATACAAATAATTCGAAACTTTTGCATCACAAATTTAAATTTTTGGGCTTCATAAAAATATCTCACAAAGATAATAATTTCGTGTAAAAATCCATTTTTGTAGATCGAATTTGTAAAAATTAGGGTTTTTATTTTTTACGCAGCACATTATGGATGAAAATCATTTTCATACCATATCACTTCATTCGCAACTAAATTAAGTAATTTGAACATATTTATGAGTTTTCGTCTTGAAATTAAGATATTTTTTAAGATCCTTTAAAAGTATGGATAAATATATGGTTTTGACAATAAAAATAAATTTACAAGAGAAAAAGTTACAAAGGTGGATTTTCAGATGTAAAATAAGATTTTATTTTATTTTAATAAAAGGTTTTAGTCTTTATTTTTTTATTTCATCCATTCTAATGTTATCTTAAAAATACTAAAGTCGAGGAAAATATGAGATCATATAATATGTACATATTATATGATCTCATATTTTCCTCGACTTATCCTAGACTACATTATCATATTTTCTTGAGGTTATCAGATTATAT